CACTTAGTTCGTTACTTACTAACTACTACACTACACTACACGTAGTTCGTAGTGTCACACACACACACACACACACACACACACACACACACACACACACACACACACACACACACCATCATATACTGCTCAGTTGCCTTCCTGCGATGCTTTAAAGTACAAGTTTTCCAGGAGTGTAGTGCTGCCAGAGCCCACCAGAGCGCCTCTCCTTCACGTGGAATTGCGGCTGAGTTCTGATACTTCAATAACTAACACATATCTATATAAAAATAAGTTACTCAATTTAAACTTGCAGTTAAGTGTTTTTCGTAACCAAATTATCAGTGTGTCAGAAAACATTCTGGCTGTTTGTGATGTTCCATGTCCACTGGTAGAACTTTCTCAGACATCCAATCACGCACGCACAGACACAGACACACACATACACTGTCACTCTCCCTCAGGAGTTGGCGTCGGGCACCATGCGACTGCTCTGGTTTAAAGCAGGTGTCAGAGCATTAAAATGATTTATATTTTTTTTGTCATGCTTCATGTGGTTAGTAAGACACATGGATATAACATTGAAACGCTTAATGAAATACATTTTTACAATTATACTTGCTGCTTGTTTAAAACATATACATTTTGGAAAGGCTTATTATTTATATAATATACAAGAATGGTCACTTTTTTTTATTAATGTTGGCAGGACAGGAGGTGTGCAAAGTATTATAAAGTCAAAATTGTTAATACTATGAGCAGACTATTCAAACTGAAGATGAGGAAAACTAAAAGTATTATATATACATGTATATATATATATATATATATATATGGTATCGAGTTGTTTCTTTGTTTTTACTGCTTAATTTAAAGGAAGCTCGATTGCATATTTTCTCTCTCTAATTTATTAATAATGTAATAAATAGTGATGTATATATTTTCTTTATTTAGAATGGACTCAGAAAAATGAAAGCAGATTTTGAATATGAGATCTTTATATCAATAGTGACGTCACATGTCTAGCAAATTTTGGCAGTGCTCCGCTATATAATTTAGCACTATACCACTGGAGGCTTCTATAACATAAACATCCCATTTTTTTAAATAAATGGCTTTATTATTAATATTATATGCTAAAGTTGTGACGTTTCATTTTATTAGACGTATTATTTGTAGTACCAAGTGGAGTAAATGTGATTCAATATTCTGTCGCGTTTACACCGCGAACTAATTGTGGAGAAACCGCATTTTCATGAAATGAAAAACTTTGTTTTGAAGAGCAGTAAAGCCCACAGAAGAACTCGGGGCTGTATCAAGCAAAGTTATAATGATAAAAAGGGAGAGAGAGAAAGAAAGCTAATATCATGTGTAAAATATAAAACGACTTACAAATGTATCTAGAATTTTCTAGTAGTTATTAATAATTCGTGATCCAAAGCAAGCTAACTGTATAGATCAGGATTTAAAAAGTAACGTATAAATTAGTGAAGCTAGACCGTATAATAAACAGACTAGAAGTACTGTAGAAAACTAAAATCTACATTAACAGTATTTTCGGCCGTAATCCCATTAAGACCATCTGAGATTCGCTTATGAGATTTTGGTTAGTCCTAAGTGCATATACTGTGTTGATAAAGCAAAATAGATTTAATAAGTATAAAAGCTAATAAAAGAATAATAATAATAGTTATTTCAAACGTCTTAAACTAATAGTATTAAGTAAACGGATTTTTAGAGAAAACTAAGTAAGTCATTACCTTTAAAACACATTAAAGCCAGTTATTTGCACCCAAGATCCACACACAGCCTACCAATATAATCAGTCTACGAACAAACGTCTCTAATTATATGATAGTAACAATAAAGAAAAGCTGTTATGTTGGTGTTACTTATATTTTACTTATATTTTTATATTATAATAACGCTAAAGAATTGTACTTCGTGGTGTACTATATATGTGTGTACAATAAGCTAATATATATATATATATAAAACATCTTCAGCAAAGTATCTACTGATTTTTATCTAGTTCCTGATTTCTTCTCGCTATTTCCACGAAAGTACGTGCTGGGTTTTTAACCCTGAAGGTTTGGCAACCATGTCGCTCAGTCTCTGAACTTTCTAAACAAGGGCGATGGGAGAAATAGGCTTGGCGTACGTTTGACATGTTTGTTGGAAACGTCTTGAGCTGTCGCGCCCAGTAAATTTCATAAAAGGACGTAAACTCTAAAAGCTATCCAGCTACATCGTCCCACGAGTGCTATCTATTCTCATGAGGTACATGAAAAAAAAAAGGCTTGAGTATGTGTGCGTGAAAATTTTAGTTGGTAAAACTATGCTCATATATCATGAAATACTCGTATTGATGTACACTCTAAGTACCATGAAATTGCTTTTAATAAATAAGATGAGAATAACTTGCAACGCTGGAAACAAAATTGGTTTAACCACAGTAAACTGTAGTGAACAGCGAAAAAATATATATATATACCATTACCATTATTTTAGTTTTGATAGCATATTTTGTGATAGCTTAGGTGATTTGCATAAATTGCAATATGAACGTATTTCTCGGATTTATAAAGCCAAAGTTTTATAGTTTATAACCATCAATTATGAATTTTATATATATATATATATATATATGCATTTTATATAGGTTTCATACCCTATACGTACGTTTTAATTTTTTTTTTTTCATTAATTCCAGAGCGTATTGCTATGTATCTCAAATTTAAACTGTAGAGTTGGGAATATTGAAATACACAAATAATGGTTCGGGTTACTTTTTTTTTTCAACATTAAAATACGTTTGTAGAACGGTATGCTACTGTTAAAAAGGAAAATAGAATATATATAACCTTATTCACACAAATTTTTAAACTTAAAAAAATAATTTTGCACTACCGAGTTATTAGAACAACAAAAATATAATTTGCGAATGGTCCTCTTTATGGAATAGTTGAAATATTACACTCCATAACTTATTATATGAAACTAATATTGACGGGTTTTCCATCTTATATTACTGTATTATTTTATAGAAAACTTCTCTATGAGATAGTTCGTTATTTAGAAAGATTCGGACCTTCAGTAATTAAACCTATTTTATATGTTTTATCGTGCTGACTACACACTCACACAATCTCTAACCTAATGCAGATCTGTAGCTTTATAAAAGCTACACATGAAAGAAATGAGCTACGTCGAGATATACTTACTTTCAACTATTTTGAATATAAACTTACAAATATTTTTTAGTGACTCTTGAAGAAATGCATTTTAAAGTTTTTGCTACAACTTAATATATTTTTGTTCTTGCTTAACTTTGTAGGGATGAATTTTTAAGAAGGCAGTTGCTACAACGTAATAGAACTACTAAAAAGCAGAAAAACTTGAATTTGACACAATTTTGTTGTAATCCATTTTGAAGACATCTATTTAATTACATTTTTTTTGCAATATTAGATAGTTAGCATGACTAATAGGACTTTAAGATTATGATCAGATCATCAGCCCTCACCACAGTTGAAATTATATATATGCTTATAGTAAAATATACGTGTGAGAAGCATAATGAAACCTTATTTTAGTTTTAGAGCCCGAGAGTCGTTTGTATCGCTAACTGTCGTTCTTTTCAGTATACCCATAATCGTGCCTGCGACTAAACATTTCAATGTGATTATTTGCAAAATATATTTGTAGATATTTCCACATGTATATAAATTTTAGTATTAAGACTAAAGACTAATGTTATTTACTTAATAACAGTTTGCTTAGCCAAATAACAGGGTAACTTTGTCTTGGATATTCGTAATTCTTTCAGTAACTCTGATGGCTCATAACGCCAAAAACCGGGTTTCGATACCTAATAGGGACAGCATAGACGGCTAATAGTGTAGTTCTGTATAGAAACAAACATCATAGGAATTTTAGTATTAGGCCTATTATATTAGTAAAGGCGTTCACACATTATAATTTATTCATCTTTTTTCGGTATGCTTAGTAATTATTTCTTTGTAAAGTATTTTGACAATACTATGAAGTTTTCTTCATTAAAAAAGTCGTACGTTGATATTATATTGAAGATGTTAGGGCTTTCACATAAATTCCTATAAACCGAAATTTATTGTTTTCAGTGGAAAATGAACTTCATTTAGATCGTATGTTCTATTAAGCTTCCTACCACTGAAAATAATAGTTGAAGTACCTGCGGATCATTTGTTCTAAGGCGTATTAACATTTAACTTATTTTAAGAATGTTGAAGTTAGTTTGATAATATAAGTTATTATTATTTCGAACAACACTGTTGAAACTGTAGAAATTAGTGAGAGTAGGAGTTGAAATGCTGTTATGCAATTTTCATGAACCAACATAAAGCCAGTAAAAAATGTGTTTAAAATTAGTATCAGTCATATCGTCAAGTTAGGTTATACCGAAATTATACTAATAAAACCAACTCAAAAGAGAACCTTATATATATATACACACTTTTAAAATGGATAATGAAAAATATATTGCTTGAACTTTGTAGTTTGAATTTTGTTACTGTCTTAATCAAACGAGATTTAACGACATTTTTCTTTTGTGTCTAGCAATACAGCAGAGCAACATTGATAGATTTAGTCAAATAGGCGTCAGAAGATATTCTGAGCTGTTGTTCGACGTTTCTCGTTATCAACTTATTGTTGGAGCACGGTAGGTTTTAGTATACTAGCAACATTTCTCTGAATAACTTGAAGTTTTTATTTAATTTAGATATTATAACCATTATGCTTCTTGTTTATATTATTATGCTGGCCGTGGTTATTTCAACTTCAAGTTGTCAACAAGGAAGTTTAATGCTTTCTTCTTTGAAGGATTATGATAGGTGATAAACTGTGTACTTTCTTATAGCAATGGCTATTGTTTGTGTTAATAGTGTTGCGTCAGCGAAGTCACATGACTAGTGTCACGCCACGTTTCTAGAACTATCCTGTACCTTGGCGAATG